ATTACATCTATACTGTGTGAATTTTCAACACCACGAATAACGGTCCTTTATCTATCCCTTCTACCATAAATTATTCTTAAATATTCTGTAGCACTTTTTTTTATGCTGGATTGTTGCTAGATTAGAAGTGAAATATCAATCAGCAAAATTTTGAGTTATTGAGTTTCCATAATTTTGAGTTTCCATAATTCAATGATCATCATTTCATGTCTTTTGAAATTTTAATTCGTTTTTAATACTATAATATTGTATTAAATGCAACAATTAAAATACATATTAACTTTACTTTATGCTAAATTACTGTACAAAACTTCTCTCATTAACATTTGTTAATTTGCTTCTTCATTAATTTGCTGTTATATTTCAGCACTCAACTAGCACGAGCTCATTTTGAAAAACATCCACCCAATAATTTGCGCAAAAGTAATTTCTTTCATTTTGTGATTGCACTATATGATCGTGTTGGACAGCCAGTGGAAATTGAAAGAACACAATTTGCGGACTTTGTGGAGAAAGAACGAGAAGTAGATGGAGAAGATACTCGAAATGGTATTCATTACAGACTGTGGCTTGCATTTGCCAATGGTCAGTAAGTTCAGAGCCAAAATTGAAACAATAATTAAAATTAATGTCAATTTCAATGCAGTCGTATGCAGAAGCCATTTTTTTTCTCTTAAAATATTTTGACCAAATAATTTAGGTTTACGCGCGGAGCAAGATTTATATGTACGTCTTGTCGACAGTGTCTCTAAACAGGTAAGAAATTTCTTTATTACCAGAAAAAATATGGTTTCCAAGCTCCAATCTTTTAAAAAAAATTAAATAACTTTCTTTGTGGTCACATTTCAAAAACAATTATCTGTAATATTTGATATGTCATACTAAATGAATTATCAACATTGAAAATTTCATAAAATTTATGCATATATACATATGTTCACATAAGTATGTGATAATATTTGAAAATTGTGGGCGAGCATATGTTAACAGGTGGCTCACTAATTCAGTCCGTTTTGACAACATAGAAACAATTTAATTACTGTTCCTTGCAACATTGAGCTTCTAAATAGTTCAAAATGTGACTTGTATCACTAACGCAAGATTAAATTGGTCTCAGATTGCATATCCATACACATTCTTATAACAAGCATTTTTATTCTCTGATTTATAAAATATATCAAAATATTGTGTCTTCCTTGTGGATAAAAAATATTGCTTGAAGCACTTTTAATTAACTAAGGGAATAACTGTCTGATTGGTTAAATCATTCGCTTCATTAATTATATATAAGGGGAAATAAAGAAACTAAATATTTGTTTAGCTAGAAATTCAAAAAATTAATAAACAAAATTATTTGCACTTTTTAGCAGTTGAAATTTTGCAAAACTTTTTTTCTAATATCGCTAAAATATTTGTATCCGATTTTCGCTAACAGTTTTATATAAATGCCTTAATTTCAAAAAATGCAAATTTCAAGAAAAAATAAGCAAAATATACAAATTTCAAATTAGAAAAAACTTGCCATTCAATTCGAAAGTCAAAGTTTTGTTCGCATTTTCTGCTATATTATAATTGACTAATTTTGTATTGAAATCTAAATAACTGTCTTTAATAATGACATTGTGATTTGGTTTTCTGATAAATATATAATAATTGGTTTTAAATGTACATATGAAGAAAACTTGAAACCTTGTAAAAAATTATTAGTATATATTAACGATGAATTTGTAGAAAATCATTAATCATTAGTGTTAACAGGCCATAGCATATGAAGGACAAGATAAAAATCCTGAAATGTGCCGCGTACTACTAACTCACGAAGTTATGTGCAGGTACAGTTCTTTATCTAGCATTTTAAATGAACTAAATAAAACTGATCTTGAAATTAAAGCATATCACGCAGTAAATAAATATTAATTGTTTGTAAACTTTACTTGTATTCATGTCATTTTCAGTCGATGCTGTGAAAAGAAAAGTTGTGGTAATCGTAATGAGACGCCCTCAGATCCGGTGATTATTGACAGGTACGTACTTTGTTTGTATTTAGCACATTTATTTCCAGCAAGAGCTAATTAGGATGATCCATTCTCACCTGGCACATCAACCTACTGTAACCTTTAGCACTTCTGTTTTTATTGCCATCACTATGCTTTTATTTTAAATAATTTTGTTTACTTGCAGTTAATTAAAGTATGATTACCTTCTTTATTGCTTCCATCAATTTTATGGAAAATTGAAGTTATCCAATTTCAAATAAAATAAATAAGTTGTTAATGGAAACAAATATAATTAAGCTTACGGTACTAATTGATTTATACTTACGCAAGTATGTGCATGGAGATTTGCTTACTCAGTTAATAATTTAACTGAGCACAAATTTATTACTTCTACAATAAGCATAATTTTACCAAAAACTAAGAATTTTATGAAAGTCAAATGAATGACGATAAAAATTTTGAAGCTTTTATGAGTAGGATTTAGATACATAAAAGTGTGTGAGTGCTCGTTGACCAGTACCCACTGAATTAAATTAGATTTTGCTTTCTTGGCCCGGATATTTATGGGTCTGAGTGAAAGCCAAATCGAAATGCAAGCAACTACTCGCCATACAATCCCTTAATATTGTTTGCTTATTAAATTTCCTTAATCCTGACAAAGTTTTTGATATTATTATACAAGCAACTCTGGTTCATTCATTTTTGTCATCAGTGTGTTGTTTAATTCTTTTAATCAAATAAGTTCTATGGAAAAAACAAAGCAAAATACTATGTAAAAGAATATATGACATACAAAGAAATCAGACGAAATTCTATTTTTAATGGTACTAAAAAAGTTAATGGCGGATAAATTTTGTTTTTGCAATTTTCAAACTAATCCAAACTTATTTTCATAAAGCTATAATTGTTTTTCAAAAATTTTTTATTTCTAGTATAAATTAAAATAATAATTCGGAGTGCCCGTATGCTAAGAGTTGTTTTTTCGAATAATAATTTTCAAAATACTACTGTTATTTTTAATGCAAAAGGGATGAAATACGGATTATTTAAATATAGTAACAACGTATCAAACATAAAATCTTTAGTAGTGGACGATTTTTCTTCTAATTGTTTTACAATAATTATTTTGAATTTCTTGTTCAAGCGTACGAATTTTTATTCAGCTATATTTATATATACATATATATCATTCAGTTTGATAATTTTCAGATTTTTTCTGAAATTTTTTCTGAAATGTAATCAGAACTGTTTGAAGAATGCTGGAAATCCTCGAGATATGAGAAGATTTCAGGTATTTCTATCATTATTCACTGTAAATTTGGAACAAATTGAAATGTGCGCTAAATGATGTGCAAGGCAATATCCGAATCATATTTGAATTGAGTTAAATTAACCAATCCAAAATGTTATACTCTTAAAATAATAGCACGAAAATTGTAGCAGTAAATGAAACATTGAATAGAATAAGCTAGCAAAACAGGTGGTTTATTAGCAGTAATTTGCATAAAGATGGAACGGTTAGTATGCTTAGAGTAGTGAATTGAGATGAGCGGTATGTGCTTGCGGACTGTCACATCAAGACGACACAATCAATCAAATTTCTTCGCAGATGACCTCTCACCTCATTGAGCTATGCATATCATCATATTTTTCTTTCCTGCATCTGTCAGTGATATCAACCATTTCATATGCAAATTTGACAACTACCCTTCACAATTTTATTTCATAGTTGATATTGGAATGAAAGTTTAAAAAACTTTGAGAGCAACTGAAATACTGAAGTACAAAAAAAAGAAAAAAAGAACTTCTCACTCAGTTATAGTGAATCATATAGAAAGATTAATTTTTGTTGCATCTGTAAACTTTATTTTTATTTTTATTTTTCAAGTAGCAAGAATATATGTCTGAAGATAAAAAGAAAAATTGATTTGGATTCTATATTTAGTTCAACAATTGTCAGTCATATGGCCTCGCTTAAAGTTTAAAATACTCTAAAATAACTACGATATATTTAGGTTGTTTTGGGCACTTCAGCACGTGTAGATGGTCCTTTACTTGCAATATCTGATAACATGTTTGTTCACAATAATTCAAAGCATGGAAGGAGAACAAAACGGGTTGATCCTACTGAGGGTTTGTTATTTCAGAATTATTGCTAACAGATTACTAAAACTGATCATCCATCAATTAATTGAGAAGAGCTGAATGATTAAGAGTTGTCATTTTATTTTTTAAATATAAAATTATGTGTAGACTAAAACTGAAATATGGAATAAGATGTCAAAATGGAGACATGTTAGTAAACAATAAATTGTTGTTAGGCAGTTGATGTTACTAATCATAAGCAGTAGTAAATGATGGAGTAGCAAGGATGAAGAGGAGAAAAAGAGAAGAAAAGTTAAGTATGATAATTAATGATAGATAGACTTGTATAACTCTAGAGGATACTCAATTTAATTAGTGGTCGGAAGCACATAATTATGCTATTGAGAAGATCTGCTCCTTGAATGAGTAAATTATCATTCTAAAGCCTTTTACCTTTCCTTGGATTACCAGCAAACACTATTTAATTTACAACTACATTGTAAACATTAGTTGTAAGCTGCTTTCAACAAACAAATTTATAGTCATTATTTGAAATTTTAGAATTGTCTTATTTTTAGCAGCATTATTGTTTAATAATGAGGTAACATAAGCAGCTTCTTATTACATTGTTAACTTTTGCCTGCTATAACTTAAAAAATAATGCTAACACATCATACTTGAAAGATTTTTAGAAAATAGCAGTAAATTTGAATAGCTGCAAAAAGGATGAATTGAAGAAAAAGGCTAGTAGCATTCCAATAACTTTATGCATGCCAAAATATTGAAGGCGATTAAGGAGTTGAGCAGGTGAAGAAGTCATTAATATTGTCATTATGAACGTCCTTTCACATTTTTAAATGCTTTTTATTAATGTCACATCACAGCTGCTTTTATTTTGCAACTCCATCTTAGTGTAACACTTAAGTATATACGCTACAAATAATTTGCATGCGCAAAACTGATATAATCAGCATATATTAGTCTGTACAGTGTGAACATTTCTGCATAAAAATTAATAACTTTTCCTTGATTGAGCACTTTTTCAAACAATTACTTCAAACAATATAATTATGCAACTTTTTGCTACAGTATATTAGCTAAGAATAACATTTTATAGAATGCATATATTAATAAAGAACAGTTACATTTTTCAAAATATGAATAAGTAAACATTACGCTTGTCTATCTATACATTTATTTATAGTTATATTTACATATGAATGTGTAAATGTTAATGTCATATTTGATTAAAATGATTCAATCATTCAAACTAGGCTATTTGAAATATGCAAATGAGAATGTTTAAATAAAGTGAATAATGGGCTTTCTATGATCCATATCTACGATTTATTTTAAAAGTACCACCAGCATTTTATGCCATCTTATCAGAAGTGTGAGCAACACTACTAGATGTGTTATGGAAATATAGATGGTTGCATTGATTTAATCTAGACAACTCTTCTCTTGGCCATAAAATGAGCATAAAATTTATCTACCATGAAAGTTTATCTAATTCAAAAATCTTCACCGATATGTTTCTTATTGCACTGGCTGATTCTACAGAGTGGCTAATGTTTGTGTTATTAAGAAAACTAATTTAGTTTTTTTCTTCTTTTTTTTTTGCAAGTTATTCTAAAAAATGTATGAACAGTAAGTAATAAGAATAATAATTGCAATTAATCTTTTTGCTAAAATTTTAAGGCTTTGCCAATTGATTGCACTTTTCATTGCTTACAAAATATTAGGAATTACAATCAGTAATTCTCTAATAACATTCTGAAAAAGTTAATCTATTTATAATAAAATGCATTTTTTTTAAACTGATTATCAAATGTAAGAAATGAAAATACTGACAATAAATTAATTGAAAGCTTACATGATCAATACTTGCATTAAATTTATTCTGCCAAGCAAATTTTAATTAAAATTTGTCAAATTTCTCACCTAAACTATGCCGGAAATAGCAATATGTTCGATAAATGCATAAAATATTGATTCCTTTTTTACGCTATAAATGTCCCTAAGCAATCATTATATCGATGATATTTAATGCTTTGCAGTGAAAAGAGACTACCGTATCCGTTTCAATTTGTTTTCGCTTTTACGGACTGCCACCATATGGATTGTCACTTTTTGATAAATTTTAAGCTAAACTAAGTCATAAAAAGTTTAGAAATCAAAGAGCACCACACTGTAAAAACTTATCATTGAGATTGTTACTATCCTATCATTATTCATATGACAGCAAATTATGACAGCTGCTCTCTTCTAGCTGTTATGGTTTCTATCAATTAAGTGAGTAGTTCTAGACCATGCAAACATTTTAATTTCTCCCTTTTAGAAACAATTTGAAGTTCATTTGTATCAAAAATACGAAATTCATGAAAAATGAATCCTTAAAAACAATTATGCTTATGTTACATGAATATATCTAACTTTACAGATATCTCAGACTCCTCAGATGTTGTAGTAACATCTAATCCAATAATTAAAGCAATATGTCCAAGTGAAGGTTGGACGCAAGGTGGCACATCAGTTATAATCATCGGTGAAAATTTTTTCGAAGGTCTTCAAGTTGCTTTTGGATCCACTACTGTTTGGAGCGAGGTTTCTGATTCATTTAAAAAGATTTTAAATTTTTGATAATTTGAGTATATTTTTGTACATTTATATATCAGTTTTATTGCATTTGCATATTATTTTGTTGAGCTTTGTTTTAACAATGCTATTTATAAAGGAAGAAATAAACTCTATTTATGTCTGTAATGCATGACTAGGCAGTACAAATTAGCAAAGCAAATTGATTAAAATGATTAAACGAAAAAAATTATTGCGATGATTTCAGATACACAACCCATAATAGTACTTAATAATTTATATAACAATTTTTTTGTCAAAATAGTAATGTGCTTGCAAAATGTATACAAAACTTGCAGTCAGTTCAAGTTATTACATCGCATGCTCTGCGCGTTACAACGCCTCCTCGTCACATGCCTGGAGTAGTTGAAGTAACATTAACCTACAAATCAAAACAACTTAATCGAGGAAATTCTGGACGATTCGTTTATGTTTGTAAGTCTATTTTTTTATTTTAAATATGGTTTTGAATGGAGCCAAAAAACTTTTTACTAAATATTAGCTCTATTTAGGAGTGATTTATTTTAGAGAACTGAGCTTTAATTTTATTCTTTACTTTATATTTACAATGATACCGAGCAGTTTCAGCTCTTTCTGAACCAAGTATCGACTTTGGATTTCAAAGATTGCAGAAATTGTTACCCAAGTATCCAGGTGATCCAGAAAGGTTACCTAAAGAATTAATATTGAAAAGAGCAGCTGAATTAGCAGAAGCACTGTATAGTAGGTAATAATTCATACTTTTCAGTTATTTTTCGATGATTTCTGCTTTAACTTAGCAGCAAAAGTTGTTTGTAATAAATTTCAGTCAACAGTTCACGCTACCACCACCAAGAACTCCTGCTGATCCATTATCTCATTATGCCTCTGCCTATACTGCTCAGTTTGATACTAATAATGGTAATTTATTGTTCAAAAATGTTTTGTTTTATTTTCAAAAGATAACTCAATTTTCTTTTTATTTTTCTCTTTTACAATCTGCCTTCTAAATATATCCAAATAGATAATTTGTTTAAAGATTGTTGCATAGTGATAATAAACATGCATCAAAGTTGTGATGACATTCAAAATCAGAAAACATCTTGAGACAAAGTTAGAACAAAGAGTTTGATGCAAAATCGAGTTTAAGACTATATCATTTCTTTTACTCCTTTTGTGCTAATAATTTGTAATTTTAGACATTATAATCAATCTTGTAGATTGTAGAAACTATCCATTTTCTTTACACCCTTAACTTTTAGCATCCAAAATAGAAAGTATGCTTTATTTTAAAGTATCTCAAATTTCTCAAAATTATTTTCACTGATAGGTCTAAGAAAAAGATAAAATCAAAAATAAATTATTATTTAAATAGCACAAATTTGATTATAAAAGTAATTTTGTAAAGCTTAATTTCTGTACTAGCTAAATAATATAAAAATTTAAGATAAGTTCTGAAATTTAAAATAACTTTTCAAAAGTATTATATCACATACTTTTCGGCACATTCTGCTGAATTTTATTATTTTCATTACCTACTGATAGGTTAGAATCTTTGCTTATTGTATTTTTCTTTCAGACTATACTCGATCTCATAATTTATCACCACGAGCTTTATCAAATTATAGCAGTAGTGCAGGTCCGCATTCGCTATCATCGGCAGTTTATCAAGGAACTTATTCGGCATCTGTTAGTGCCTCACCAGCTGCACAGTTTCTCAATGCTCCAGCTAGTAAATATTTGCTTTTTTCTTTTAAACTTTAACTCTGATTACAAAGTACTGATTTTTTAGTTTCATAAATAACTTATTTCTTTGAATATTCATTGCTGCTGATGACAATTACAATATAATTTATTTGAATGATAATGTTACAAACTTTACTACTCCTCCCCATGTTTTTTTAATTAAGTTTCAGAAAATTAATACTTTTAATAAACTGAAATTTGTTTTTTTCTTTCGTTAATTGTTAAATTTTTAACTTAATTTCTATATTTAAATATAATTTGTGAGTGTAAAAGCAAGTACTATCTAACACAAAGATTCTCTAAATAGGAACTTTGATTTAAAGTTACAGGTTTTGCGCCTTTTGGAGCGGTGAATCCATTTGCAGCAGCATCATTCCAAACAACAGCAAGGCTCACTTGACTGATTCAAATTTGAACTTATTGTTTTCTTTGAAAATATAGCTGTGTAATATATGAAAATACACTCATTTTCTTTCATTGATTGTAAAAAAACTTATAGTACTTACAAAAGAATACCAATCTAAGTTGTTGATCAATATCATTTGAAAAGTATTAATTTTCGAAAATGCGCTTACTTTAAATAAAGAACTGGGATTAAGTTAGTAGAATTTACGCTTCTGATAATTATTTACTGCAGTGAGAGCAAGCAAACTGAAATCCATATTTTTAAGAGCGCTATTACAGGTGATAGATTAGAAATAATGCAATATAATAATTTGGACGAAAATCATAAAAAGTTAAACTGATCTTTCATTTTAAATCTTATTTCAATTCAAATTAATATTCAAATCTTAGAAAATCATATAAGTGTTTTTTTTCCTTTACAAATTGCGAACATATCAAATCAAATTTCGTACATTCACATTCACTTTCAATAGCTTATCTTAGATCGTGAAATTGGAAGTGTGATAAACTTAAATTATTGTTCATCGGCAAAATATTTTGAAGATTAAATTTGAACAATGGTGCGTGTAGCAGTAAGATCACTTTTGAAAAAAAATGCGCAACAATTGGCATAATATTTGTTGATTAATCTTGACTAGTATGATCTAAATGAAAAAATATTACCGACAGTAATAATTGATTATTGACATGCTCACTTTTGTTATAAACCTTTAAATAGTATTATACTGTATTTTTCTAATTTCTTCTGGTAATTTTCAGTTTTTGCAGTATTTTTGTGCATACTGTTTTCTAATATTTTATTTTTTTAGATCTATATATGTGTGCTTTCATAATGTTTTCAGGACTGATTTGAAATTATTTGCAGCAAAAGATCTGGAAAATTTAAATGAAGAAAAAAAAACTTTTTGGACTTATGTGTAAATTTTGAAATGAACTTGCACTTACTTGAATTGCCAGTATTGATTGATTTTGATCTGTTTATGAAAACGGGTATAAAAGATCTTTGCTATTTAATTCTTATTTGTTTAATATGAACTGTGTTTGCTAAACAATCTCAAATAAAGGTAAAATTTAAAAAAATATTGATAAAACAATCTTTTTGTAAATGCACGTGAATCTCATCGGATGCTATCCTCATTGCAATAATACAGCTTTCTAGGGATAAATACGTAAACAAAAATATTTGTCGTAATTACGAATTTAATCACGAATTTAATCTACTTCTTTATGGTTTTTTGTATATTAAATCATTCATTTTATATTTGAAGAAGCATGAAAACTTCGTCATAATAAAAAAGTTCTTGACAATGATTTAAAAATATATTCAATTTGTCCAAAACAGAATCAAATCCATACTAAAAAGTTTTATTGGATATGGCATTTGGCGACATGATTAAACGTTTGCGGCATTTATTAACTAAATACCCAAGTTTTTTTTTTTTTTTTGTAATGAAAGTGATGAAGTTAAAATTATTCGTCTAAATTTATTCAACAACAAAAAAAATAGCGTTGATTTTAGTAGAAAACCATTTTAAGTAGGAAAATGATTACTGCAAAAAATAATTACAAGCTCTGATGTGATGGATGAGAAGCAAATGGTTAAGTGTAATGAATTTGATGATCACTTTGCGGGCTTAATCCTTTCTAGCAACTTGCTTAATTTCTGCATTTTTCTTTAGTTTTTGTTGCACTCATCAGTATGCCACTGAAGCCATATTTTTTCTTCTTATTAATGTAATTATCTTTAATGTTTTACACTCAATAATGACGCAATAATTATCTCAATCACCTTATATTTTAAACTAAATTGTTGCACAGCAGACAGAGTATTGATTGCATTGGTAAAACCGGTATTTTTAATGGTTTTTATTTGGCGATTGATGTAGTACTGCTTCTAACATTATTGCATATTTCGACTTTCATTATAAAATTCAAGTTTATTATTAGTAATTTGTATTATAATTGTACTAAGTGACCTTTTTAATTCTAAATACTATCACCTGTGTATTTATTTTGTTAGTTTAGCATTTTTTTTTTGCAATGGAAGCTTTTTAAATCTTCCATCATTATGATTATTTTCAACTGAAGTAGTAATTATAGTATTTTTGTAAGTATCTAAAGACTTTGTAAAAGTATATCATTGAAATATGATGATAATAGAAACGTTATTATTGATTTAAATGCGATAAATAAGGTAATTCATCGTAAATTGATTGATTTCAAAAATACACTGTTAAAACATTTTAAAACAGAGTAACTTTGTTATTTATTGTTTGCAGAGTAGTTTTCTTCTAAAGATATGAGTAAAACTGAGCATGACTTCATTCCATAAATGTTTTAATTTTTTTGCCATACAACTAAATTACTCATTCTAAATCATTCATTCTATTTTGTTACTTATTGGATGCGAAAAATTGCATACTTTGTCCAATTTTGTATTTTTGCTTGAATGAAAATAGATAGCATTAAGTAAATTAGACTAGAAGGACATAGCTGTGGACAGAAATTTTTTCATCCAATTCGTATATTATAAATAAAATTTAATGAATTTTATTAAATTTTTCTTTGCATTCAATAAAAAAAAACAAAAAGATGGCATTAAAAAGTTTTTGGCTAACACTAAAGTAGATTTTTAATGTATTCATTTGATTATTTAAGAGCGATTCTGCTTTTGTTGATTTCATATTTGTGGTTGACTGAAGGTAAAAATGTTGGATGGAGATGATGGCAAGCACCATTTAAAAGTAAATCAGAAGATTGATATACACTTCGCTGATTCCAGTTACAAGGTTATTTTTGCTAATAGTACAAATGTTGCGATACCTTCTTTGTTTTGTTTTGTTTTATTTTTTATTTTTTATTTTTTATTTTAATAAATAAGTGTGAATGTTTGCGATACGAAAAAATTGTATCACATTCAAATCTAAAAATCTTTGTTAATAAAAAAAATATGTTTGACTTTGTTCTCATTTAAAACTATGAGCGAAGAAATAGAAATTAATGAATAAAATAATAAGTTACAGGTTGAAAACAAAAAAATAATTAGTCATACTGAGAGTAATTGGAATATATCGCCATCAGAAATTGCTAGTAATACCAAAAATCCTATTCGCCAAATCTGCGATTCATTGTTTGTCCCAGTTAATCCACAGAAATCTCTAATTAAATTGAATCTGGGAGATCCTACTATTTCTCATGCACTTCCTGTGTGCGCAACTGCTATCAAAGCTGTAAGTGACGCGCTTATTAGTCGAAAATATGAAGGTTATGGCCCAGCTATCGGTAATTAATCTGTTATTAAGATTTTCTTCTTAGTGTTATCAGTGTTATCAGAGATTTTGTATGGCAACTGTAAGAAAACAAAGAGTATAATTCATTTGTGAAATGGAGAATTATTGTAAGATCAAATCAAAACTGCCTTCCATTTTTTGTTTTTCCTGGAAGTAGTTGAATATTTTAATGCGTTTCAATGTTATTCTCATAAAAATTAGTGCTTATGAGTATTTTCAACAATTTTCTAAAGTAAGCAGAGAAGATCAGCTTTCTTGTTCAGAAATACAAAATCATACTTCAACATTTACATTTGAGCTCATAATCTTTTTAAGAATTCTAAAATAGTTTTCTGTTTTTTTAAGGGATTCAAGAAGCTCGAGAAGCTGTAGCACAATATTTCACACATCCGGATGCACCAGTAATTGCAGATTCCGTTATATTAACTAGCGGTTGTTCACATGCTATAAAAATGGCTATTGAAGTGTTAACAAATCCTGGAGATAACGTGCTTGTACCCGCACCTGGTTTTCCATTATATTCGACTTTTTTAAAGCCTTTGAAAGTTGAAGTATGTCTATCCAGATATTTTAAAATGGAAACGAAAATTTCTTAACTAAGAAGTTTTATTATTGATAGTTAAAATTAGTTTGAAAAAAATAGAAAAAAAGGCCATAACTGATTTTGATTTTATTACAGATATTTCATTTTCAAATTCTTCAATTGCAGAGTCGCTATTATCATCACGATTTACTAAATAGAGGTGAATTGGATTTAATTCAATTGGAATCTTTGATTGATAATCGAACACGCGCTATCATTATTAATAACCCTTCTAATCCAATGGGTTTGGTCCTTAGTAAAGATCAGTTGGAATCAGTGCTAAAAATTGCAAATGAAAATCGAATTCCCATTATCGCTGATGAAGTTTATGGTACAATGACTTACAATGAAGCAAAATTTTATCCAATAGCAACTCTTAAGCCTAAAGTACCTGTACTCACTTGTGATGGTATCGCAAAACGATATTTATTACCTGGATGGCGACTTGGTTGGATTATAATCCATGACCGTCATGGAGCATTTGCACATATTCGAAATAGTCTAATAGATCTTGCTCAGAATATCGTTGGACCATGCACGTTGATTCAGGCTGCATTACCATACATTCTACAGTCAACAGATGCAGTCTTTTTTCAACAAGTCAATAATATTATTTACCGTAATGCACGCATTGTATGGGAAAGTTTGCACAAAATACCAGGTTTACATCCACTTATGTCTAACGGAGCAATGTATATGATTATACGAATAGAACAACAAATATATGGTACAGATGAAAGTTTTGTCCGTGATTTACTTGCTGAAGAAAATGTTTTTTGTTTACCAGGATGTGTTTTTCATTGTGCTGGCTGGTTACGGTTGGTACTTACATACAGTGAAGAAGAAACACGTGAAGCTTGCAATCGTATCAGACAGTTTTGTTTGAGACGAGCATTACATACTTTAGATCAAAAAAACATTTAATCTACTTCCCAATTTATTGTTTCACTAATGATCTCCATTGCTAATTTTATAGCATTATTGTAGTTCTATAATTTACTAATTTTATGTCTGCTAAGTGCGAAAAAAAGTGATTTCTTTTGTTTTTGACAAATGAAAGAATAAAATTTCAATTGTGCAATTTTGAGCTCAATAATTGTTGCAATAATATAGAAAATTTTTACAATCGTTGTGAAGTTCTTGGCTGTTTATACTATTTGAGAGAGGCAGAATTTATATCAAAATAAATGTACTATAATTTTTAAATCATAACATATGTTCAAGCACTCACAAAGTATTCTTCCTGAATAAAATCAAGCATAAAATATTACATTTGAACATTAACTACTTTCACAACTGGCAACTTCAAAAACATAATTTAAAAAAAAATAATTTGTGCCAAATTTAATTTTTTGGGATCGTCAATCATCAGTAATCTGGAGTTATTGTTTACTGTATATCATTCACAGTAAGATGGCATTTTAAGAGTTGAAACCTGAAGTTTACAACTAAATAAATTATTATAATCAAAAGTAAATTTTTTGGTTACTTTTATAGTTCAATATCATATAAGAATTGTACAAGGAATTTCTAGTTCACGTCGTTTAAGAGACGTATTATTTCGTTTTCTGATATATGAACTATTGAAATGAACCAATGAAGCGCATCTATCGCTTGTTTTCCAGTGACTCGAAATGCAAACTTTAATTCATTCTTTGTTTTAAAAGCTTTAAATTTATATTCTGCAAGTTATTTGCATTTGAACAAAAATTTCAGTTACTTGCAGAAAAGCGTCTTAAATGTGCGTCGGAAGCTGCTTGACATGGAGCAATAAATACCAAAATTGATTGGATAGGTAGCCTATAATTTTTTTATTTTTTCATTAGTAACATAAACTAATACTCCAAAAGATTTCCTTGTTGTTGTAAAAATGCTTTTTACTAAACTAATTCTTTAATTGTTATATCTGTTCCTTAGCTAATTTTAACGTACTGCTTATTTATTATGCAATCAAAATTATTTCTCGGGTAAATTTATCCAATTTATAACAAATTTCAAGAAATAAAATGATACTTTTGATCTTTAAGGCATATTAATAATAATAATAATATTAATAATGAAAAATTTTATTAATTAAAATTTCAACCATTTTGATCTTACCATTACGAGCATATTGCTTGCTAGTAAAAAAGCGGTTGGAAAATTGCCTTCAAGTAATTGAAATGAAATGCCAAATGTTGTGCACACACATAAAAGTGCCATAAAAAGTGCTTGTGGAAGATTAACGATTAGAAATATACTAACGATAACGACAAGCATCAAACTAGTCGAGTTACTATCAGTTTGACGCTGTGCTTCTCGAGCTCGATTTTCTCTAAAATATTCAAATGTCCAACATTTAATGATTGTGATATTAACAATGTAATTTTTACTTTTAATTTTTATTTGTTGCTTTTTTACCATTTCATTTTTCTAATCATAATCAAAAGTTGCATGTCTGATCAATACATTCTGCGCTAATTATCGCCAATTAGTCGACAATAAAGAAAAAATATTGGAAATGATCAAGTTAACATAAAGTAATGAAATATACATATTTTAGCACTAATAATTTGGTGCACTCTATGTTTGTTCATTTGCAGACTATTTCAGATCAGCATGTAAATGTAGTTTGGAAAAAAGCAAAATGATAAACCTGACTAGACGTCTTTTTCGTTTTTGCGCTTTTCTGATGCTACGTATGAGCAAAAAATTCAAAATTATCAAAAGCATACACGGAAGCATAACAAATCCTACGACTCGCGTCCAAAAATAACAATTAAAAAACATATTAGGACCCATAAAACGCACAAGTGCCGTGAAACCAGAAAGACATTTCCTGTACTTTGTATGTACCTTATTATTTGTAATTTGAAATTTACAAAGTTAATAACTTCTATTTCAAATATTGAAAAGCTTTTTATATGAGGCAGTTTTTGAAAATCTTGCTGAAATATTGCGTCAAACTTGATAATTTTCGAAATCGTTCTAAAAATTTAGAAAATGTAGAATTACTAAAGAGACAAAAATAGAAATAAATGATTTTTTTGAATTTTTTTACCTGATATACTTGATTTTGCCATCTGGGAAGAAAGCCCATCCTTCGTAAATTTCATAATAATAATCAAGTGACTTCGGTAAACCACAAAATAGCGATATTAATATAATAACTAATGTTGTTAGACGTACATGGCGTACATTGCATATGGTATTTGATTTCATTGGATATTTCACAGATATATATCTGCAGAACCAAATTTTCAAATTTTGTATAAGTAACATTTTAAATATCTTACTTTATAAATTTTAAATCCAAAATCATTTGTTTCATTTTAGATGTTTTAAGCAATAAACTGAAATTTATAAATAGTTTGTGAAAAAAATTAATTCTTACCGTATGTAGGTAACTTTTACATTACATGAAAAATAACGAGCATTTAATTTAATAATAATAAACAATGATGACATACTTTTTGTTACAGTACTTGAAATATTAACAGAAAAATCAAACCTTTGCCCAGCAAGTAAGACGGTAAGCCACATTGCTATATTGTGGCATACAGGAGGGACAGCATCCATACTATATTTATACATATAACACCACCAAAGTTGAAGACGATCTTCCATTAAGTGATTATTTAAACTATGATAAAAAAATGTCCATGGTAATGGTACTAAACCTACGCATAAATCAGCAATTGCCATATATTTGAGAACAGCATTTGTTGGCGTGATCATGTGCTTCTTTGATAATACTATCACAATGAGTATATTTGCCACTACCACAAAAAATACCAATATAGGGAACAACTGAAATGATTACATTTCTAGTATGACTTGAAAGTAAGACGGTAAGCCACATTTCATAAATAATTTTAACATATATCTTATCAAATTTATTATTTCTTATCGTAATATCAGTAATAACATAAAGCATTGCAATATTATTTTCAATTTTTAGCTGTATTAATGTAGTTATAATGTTGCATTAAACAACTATTGAAACGTAAATCAATGGTGTCAAACTGTTCAAAATTATCGCAGTTAATCAAAGTTTTTGCAGTTTGTTTTAAATTTTGCATTGCTATATAACGCTGATAAAATTTTTTTGACTAATTTTGCATTTCATTGCAATATTTATAAAAATATTTTTAAATATAAAATAAGATTTTTAAATTTGTTTCCAACACAAAAGAAACAGAATAAAAGTTTTAATTAAATAAATTATGCTTTATCTTATATTTTTGTTTCATAAATTTTTACAGTAATTGCTGCATTGATGTAATAACTAAAATGGGTCTTTTATCACGCTTAAAGTAAGTAAAGATAACTTTCTCAAATTAAAAAAAGAATTTCACCTTTAAAATTAAGAAAAAGTTTTACTTTTAAGACTGAGAAAAATTTTCCACTTTTAACTAGCACTGCAATTAGCTGAAAGGATTTGGCATGAAACAGGAAATTAAAATTTAATGTTTTGCAAATATTGTATAATCGAATGATAAAAAAGTTTTAATGAAAGAGAAATTAAGTAAAAGGCAGATTTATTCAGCTTCATAAAAGCAATTTATATGATATTTGTGAGAAATTGAAATTTGAACACAAAGAGCAGGTAAAAAATAATAAAAAGTCAATAATGCAATCAGTATAAAATTGTTTCAAAAACAATAAAAACAGAACTAAATGTGATTTTTTTAATTAATGATTGTGTACTAAATTCACTTTCACAACAACTTTAATATTGTAATGAAGCATTATTTTTGTGCATAAAAAACAAACTGAAATACTAACCAATCCATAAACAATATTTTCCAATTCATTGTTGTGCAATGACGCCAATTGCATATTAACATAGCATCGTTGCTCACAAAAAGCGAAAAAATTACCAAATTGATCCGTAAAGCAACGATTGATTTCTGCTTGGCTAATGTTTGTGAAAAGGCAAGTGGAATGCACTTGGACCATTGTATCTGAATGTCACAATACAAAAATTATTCTTCAAAATTGTCTTCACTTTATTGAAAATGATTTTAAAAAACATATATTTGAAAATAATATCTATATATAGTAGTTGCTTTTATTTTTCAAATTAAGATCATGAATGAGATTTTTAAAAAAGATTATCAAAACATTTTTGATAAATGAATATGTAAGTGAAAATAATGAATTGACTAGACTAGGCTTGTTAATTATTATAGTTATAATAGTTATTTTTTCATGATTTATAAATTTACTTTTTTTAACATCAATTAAAGTTTCAGCTTGACATTCAAATAAAATTGACTTTGTTTTATTGATTTAAATAAATGCATTTTGATAAGTTAGGTGTAGTTTGGGCACACATCATTTTCCACATAAACGTACAAAAATATCTTAACTAATAAAAACGTATATACATATTCAAAAAAGTAATTATATTCAAAAAGTAGTTAGTGTTTAAAAAAGTAAATTTACAGATCATGAAAAAATATAGTAATATTTATAAAAAAGTGAGAAAGATATCTGATGTGATTAGTTTTTGAGAAAAGCACAAATCCATCATTCAAACTCTTTTTACTGCTTTCATCAACTTGGACTTGTGGTAAGCAAAGAAAGCATTTTACTTGCAATTAGTCCTTGCAATAACTTACATGCTAATCAAATAATGCATTCTTTTTTGCACAAATAATAAAATTTTCCTCAAAAACTTTTGTGCTATGAAACTTTACTGATTGTAAACACGATACTTATTATCACTTTCTACTTCTCATTCATTTGCTCAGTACTTATAATCAACGATCAATATGATACAATAAAAATACTGTAAATTGTAAAACAATACTGTAATATTTTTGAGAATGCAAAAATCTTCTAGAAGATAATAATAGATTTCATTTATAAATCCAGAAAGTATTTGATTTGAGCATATTTTTCATAACAATATTATAATTTGTTAATTTTCCAATTACATTGTGAAGGCTTATCTTCATTTCTTATTCCATATTTAAAAACATGCAACAAACATTGGCTTAGACTGATTTAAAAATACGAAAGTAATTTTTTGACTTAAACACAAAACTGATTATGTTAAAAATGGTGCAGATATTTTTTGGAGTAACTAAATTAATTTTAAATAACATTATTGAAAAAAGTGAAAAAAAAAAGCTTCAATTTTGCATTGAAAAACTACTATTGATATAAATCGCGTGTTAATCAATTACTTTAGTTTCAACACTTCCTCAAAGTGTCACAAAAGGTAGTTACAAATTTGTCTTGTTTTCGTGTTCATTCTTCTCCATAATTGCCTTCACTTAGTTTAATATGACAAGCGAATTTCAGCTTTTAAAAAACAATAGTACTGCTTGAATAAATTAATCACTCAAAAAACATCACTACAATTTCATTTTAATTACATAATTATTGATTAGTACTAGTTTTTTGATAATGAAGATATTACAAGGCAATCAATCGTTAATTCGTAAGTACTCACTCACTTTGTTGTGTGTAGCATTAACTAAACTAATTATCAGCATCTTCCCGATGAATCCATGTCAGATTCTGTCTTATTTTTTATTGCATAATGAAAGCCAAAATTATATGCATTATGCAAAATTTCAAGTTTACTGTATAATAATAGTGCATATAAAAAGAGATTGAACCAAATATTGGCAAATGATATTACACTTCTACAAATATTTCTTTAGCTTTTTTTTTTTGTGGCCTTTTAAAAGTAGCATATAAATCAAATAGTGTTTCTCATTTGTACTAAATCTCTTTTCTGCTTTCAAAGCTCTACTTTTCCTTTTGCTAAATCAAATAATTGATTAGCAAATTAAAAATTCAGAGCAAGCATAATTTTTAAATTAATATTCAAAAAAAAAAGTTACTGCAACTAGTAATGCTTGTTTAAGTTACCAAAATTTTTATAAAATAAAGATTTTTAACATTCATTTCTCAAGAATAAAACCACTAACAACATTTTAAACAAAATTGAAATTGTCAAATTTTGAGTCTTTTTTTTCAAAAAACCAATAATGAAATATTGATGACAACTGAAATCTCTAACAATTTGAAACTCAAAAAACTCCTTCCTAAACAATCACACTTTATTTTTTTCTTCAAAAATTCTAATTTTAAAGATAACAGTAATAATTTTACAGCTTTTTATTATTATCTCCTTAATATAAAAGTATTTATTTTGTATTAAAAATGTACACACATAATTACTTCTTATGTTTCAAAATTTTACACTCTTATATTATATTAAAATAAGTAATGTCTGAAATACAAAAAAATTACGACAGAAAATATTTTCTCATTTCAAAGTAAATATTACAGAAAATTAAAAGCAATGAGATAATCTGCGAGAATTATCTGTTAGTAATGAACAATACTTTAATTTGTGAATTTGAGTACGTAATTACTTTTGGAGGAAATTATTTGATTTAAAAATTTGCTAAAATGAAATTTTTTTTGCTTAATTTCATACTTGTCACACATTTATGCATAGCTATTAATGATTTACTGGTCGGATGGTAATAACTGAGAGAGAATTTACTCGATAAGATTTTCAAATAACGTCGTGGAAATTATTCTTCGCAAGTATCTTTCAACGTTTAGTAATATAGAACAAAAATATAATTATCATAATACGTTTGCCCGTTAATCTTGATTTATGCCAATTTTTAATCACTGCAAATTTCAAATTTTTATCAAATGAAGAATAAAGCGAAAAGTGCAGTGAAATAGCTTCAAGTAATGATTAAACGGTATCATCAGATGAATAATTTCTTTCCTGCATCAGAGGTTTTATGTTTAAAGTAAAACTTCTTAATGAATATTATTCCTATCAAAAAAATAAAGAACTTCAAGCTTACACAAAGTTAAATGTTAGAAAAGTAGTTATCAGTTCTTTATTGCTAAGATGTGTTTAAAATAAATGTTTGAATCAAACAATGGACAATTTTTAGGACTTCTGACTTTTAAGGATATATATAGGTTTTGTTAAATATGCAGATTGCGATAGAAATATTTTTGAAATCATAAATGGACACAGGATTAACTAATAATTTAAAAAGTCTATGATGTAATCCAGATCAGGAAAGGATTCAAATGTTATATTTTCCTTAAACTTTGTTTTAATGATCGAAGCCAAATATATTACGATTATTGTTTGTCAGTTATTGGCTTACAAGAATTATTGTTTAAACGGTAAAATCAAAATAAATATCGAATGAAGATGCTCATGTGTGTGAAAAATAAGCAGATAAAAAATTTCAAACAATGATTTACTTTTTTAACAATGTTGAACTGCTAACCAACAACATGTTCTTAAACAATTCAAAAACGTCAAGTATAAAAAAGTTACATTATTTTGCAAAAAAATTGATTAATAAATAAACACTTGCAAACAAAAAGTAAAAAATTAACATAAGTGTATTTTTATTCTTCTTGATTATATATTCAAATAACTAAATTTGAATTAGAGAATATTGATGATTAGAAAACAATTAGATTATTTGCATGCAAAGCAAATTTTATGCTTCGTGCTCATATTTTAATTTTAATTTCGTTTCCTAAGAAATGAATTTGAAATAATCTCAGAACATTTTTAGATCTACTAAATACCACGCCCTTTTTCCTCAGAAATAACTAATACTTTGATGGAAGTAACTAAATAAGGAAAAAGTGATATAAAGTAAAAGCATTAATGATGAAAAATTTTGTTGATGAGATAACTATAAAATCTAATTCATGCTCGCATTAACCTGATTTTTTTTTCTTTAAAATTCTTCATAAAAGCTAAAAATGCACGAAACTTGAGGCATTAGTGAAATTATTCGAAAGGATTTTGTAATTTGCACAGATAATTTTAAAAAATAAGGTATTAACCTGTTGAAAAATTCCTGTATTAAAGTCAGTCATTAAATATTTGAAAAAAATATATAAAGAGCATTATAATTTTTTATGTTTGTTATAAGAAACTTACGTCTAATTCAGAACATAATTTTGTCTTATTTTTTTTGTACCCTCAAAATCTCTGGTATTAACAAAATATCTTTTTGTTTGTTTTCTAAAATGCAATAATTCTAAAATGTAGTTGGTATTTTATGGTTGTATAACGATAATATCATCGGAAGCATATTCCATACTTTAATTCTCTAATTATACAATTGCAAAGCAAAATTGGATTTTGTTTAGGAAAAGAGAGAAGAAAAAACAAGTAATATCTTAATGCATGCCAGAAAATTTTTATTCTTGCATATTCATTTTAATTTCATGAATAGTATGCATAGTTTTGGCTTAATAAGGCAAATGAGATATTCTCATTAACGATGAATTTATTTTTTTAAGCCATACAGATCCAAAAGCAAAATGATAATTATGCTGTTTTATTCAACTTTTAGCACCATCAAACTTTTCAGCCTTTTACCATGTCAATAATGCTTATGAATAAATTATGATTAGTTTATTTCAGAAGAGGAAAAATAAAAATAAAGGTGAAAACTGGTATGTGCTATGCTAGCAAAAGGATAACAAATCGAATAAATTATAGTAATGATAATAAATTACTTTACAATCAAAACTTTCAATAATCCCTCAACTGATTTTCTTTTAGCAATCAAAGATTCAAAAAAAAGCAATGATTTTGATTTTTTAAAACAATATTTAACAAATGTAAATTGATGCACAAAAAAAATCCTCCGTAATCATGCTTGCCGATAAAGAGCTGAACTTTAAATTCAACTACCTTGCATTGTCCCACATCATTTGTAAAGATTTCGTGAAGCAATTAAAATGCTCACACAAATACCACTAATATTGCATCAAACTAAGGATATGTTGTAAAGATTCCTCCAAACTATTCTGTATTTTTTTAACTTGTGGAAACTGCAGTGCACCTTCTTCAGATTACAGTTACATACATAACACAACCAAATTCCATTCTTTAAAATGCATATTTTGGTTTTGATTTCCTTTTCGATGGTATTTTCATGTTTCATGCACTCTTGTGTATTTGTCTTTGTTCTTTTTATCTACAATGACCCAGAAAAAATTTCTATTTCTACAACTTAAATAGCAGTTACAGCATAAACTGTCGTGTGGTATAAATACATGCTGCCAATAATTATTAATCGAAAAAGTAATTGATCGGTATTATGCAAATCTATTCACCTCAGTAATACAGATAACTATAAAAATTATTGGCATTTTGCAGATATGTGTTACATACCTCGTTCAGCATCCTGATAACAAAATAGACAAAAAGAAAATGCCTTAATTACAATTGAATATTTGAGTTATGAATTTTTTTGGTCTTTGGCCGGACTTTTTCATCCTAATTTTATACACTTTTCATCGTTTAATTAATCCATCTAAATTGATGATTTAGAATTTTTTCAGCTTCATGGACTCAACATGAATTTTATCACAGTTGCACACTTTTGAGACATGAGACACTGCATAGCAAATAAGTTTTTTAAAACTCTTCAGAAAAATCTTTTTAAAAAAGACTATTATAAAGAATATTTTTAGAAATATTACTTGTGCATGCAGTAAGCAGACAGGTTGTTCATGAATTGAGAGAATTATTAATGATACACAACAAGCAACTATACCATGGACTAATAGAGCAACGTAACTTATCCTTAGATGTTATTTTCCCCGTAAATAACAAAAGCAAAGTGTTGAATCTTTGCCTCACAACATAATCAATGCTTTTTAAGCAAACAACTTTAGATTAATTACAACATTCATTAATGCTGAACTGCAAAAAATAGAACAGCTACTCTAGCATTTAAATTTCCAGTGCGTTATCAAACCAAACGAAACAGGACTCATCCATTAATTGCTCAGCAACTTGTTGCAGGATAAATTCCACAGAATGTCTCATTTCTGTTTGCAATTCACGAGTGAGAAGAAATATTTTCAAATATTTTAATACGTCCTGAGCGACTCCACAACGTTTTATCAATTCCACATTATTCATCAATTTCAGTATCATGACAAATTTCTAAAAAAATAGTTTTTTCAAAAAAATGAATCACATTGTAACAAAAACAAAATTTGTTGAAGACAAATAATTTAATAAATTAACCCGATGAAGATTTGTATCGATCAGATCTTTGCAGAGTATAATATAAAGAGTTCTTAAATCGTTATCATAAAAAAGAGTTTTGATTAAATGATCGGAGCAACAAAATATGTCCACCATTAACTTAAGAGCTCGAAGATCTGAAAGATTAACAATAGGTGAGAAATAATATTAAGATTACCATAGTGAGATTCGGTTAGTGTGAAATACATGTGAACTTGAAAAAAAAAATTTATCACCTACCTTCATTATCAGCTCTGCATTGGTTTAATTTCACTATCAGTGACAGACCAAACATAATTGGTGCAACATTATGCAAGGCCTGGATGACGATATTTTCATATTCTTGAAAGTGAACATTAAATGATAATATGAACTCAAAAGCATCTTCAGAGTATTTGGCAAGAGAAACTGCTGTTTCAAGAAATTTCAGGTTCAAAATATCTGCAAGAAGATATACAGAAATAAGATAATTTCATAAAGTATGCAATTTAAATAGCTCATATTTTATAAATTCTAGGTTGAAAAACTTAGACCATATATTTTTAAGAAATAGTAACAGGCTAAGTGAATATGCGAAACGAATCAATTTTATGAATATGAATTTAATCAATATCTCTACAGAAGCTTTAAAAAAATGGAAAATATGCAGAAACTAACCGTAATGTGAGATTGGAAATTTTTCGCCAGTTGAAAATAATGTAGTAAGCAATCTCAAAGACAACACACATATTTTACTGAGTGGTAAAGAAAAGTCATTTTCTATCGTAAGAAATATTGGTAATTGCCCATTAAGAAGCACTGTTATCATTGATCGATCCATTGAACAAAGAGAAAGAAGTATTGCGAGCAACTCCGTGCGTATTTCTATCTTCACTTCCTAGCAATTAGCATCAACGTGAACTCCGTATTACAAGCTTGAAAAGTAGCTTTTTGAGTTTCTATAATAGCAATTAAACAATAGTAATAATTTTACTAGCTGGTAGAGCAAGACAAGTTGCTCGATAAAAGCATAATTATCCTGACGAAACTGTTTTGTAGATACACGGATATCAGCTTTGTCCTGAAATTTAAAAGTCTTGCAGCATTTTTCTGAACATGTATGTCTTATTATATGAACAAATCTACAGCTTGAATAATTTTTTAGCAATCTCAACAAAAATTTAAACATTTTCTTAAATTAAATTTCGAAAATGTTAAAATTTCAGTATATAAGAAAGAAATAAGTAATAACACAAAAATTCTAAATCACTTACCAAAAGTTGTAACATTTCCTGCAATAATTTAATCATCAGCGTTTCATTATCATGAATCATGTAATCCAGCTGTAAAATTCTTTTTCATTTTTTACATTAATTCGAATTTCAATTCTAAATAACATAGTTATATCAAAAGATGAAAAACCACTCACTATAAATAAATGAATACCTGACTTTTCTGTTCAACATAACCTGTTATCTTGACCATTAGCTGCTCCAATATCATCGCATCATAGCAATTATCTACGTCAATTAAATCATCCTCTTCAAGAGCATCTCTTATTCCATTGAGAGAATACACATTAGGTAAATTTTGCGCCAAATCATTCAAAATATTTGAAACAGTATTTATACAAGATATTACTGGAGCATCAGTTTCTTTTCGAACCATGTCAACCAGTTCTCGTGCTTTTTCCTTGAAGTTAAGTACCGGAGAGTACATCGATCACTACGAACCGATGGACAATTAATAAGACCTAGAATAGTCAACCGCCCGTACAAATGTTCTAAATAATACTAAACAGTAATTCATGAAACAAACTCTTATGAAATTCATTTTTAGTCAAATTATAGCAAAAAATAAAAATAAATCAAAACAAATTCGAGTCTTAAAACTTCTTATAGATATACTTCAACTTTTACTCATGCTGAATTGAATTATGAATTCTTATACTGATGTCGTTTCAAAATGAATTTTCAGTGGTCACACCAGTACCAAAACGTGCAATTAGTTTCGCGCCTTTATCTACCCATGTTATATCTAATCACTAACGTCTAAATTTTGTGAGAACATGCAAACAACAACTAGCTTCTGAAGGAAAGTGAAGAATCGGATCGCAATTCTTCTTATGATACATAAATTCACGGCGCTGTAATCATGCAGTTACACTCATTTGAGAGTTGAGTTTTCTTCAGCCAAATGCTTATAGAATACACATATTCTGACCCAGCAACTCGTCTGCTACTAAACTATACAAGTGTATAAACTACCAAAATTAATTTAAGAAGTAGATATACTTTAACTCGTGAACTACAATCAAAAATCGAAATATGGGGTAGGGGACTGAAGAATGAAACCCAAATGACGATATTGAAAAATAGATATACAATTATAAACCATGCAACCTCTTACATTCACCTAATGGTAAGCGAAGTACGACTAAGTAGCAAACTATGACCATACCTACACCATGTCTTTAAGCGACTTCACACAAACAATGCTAACATTTACGCAATATGAACTCTGAAAGACAAATCTAATCCGCGTTGCACCCATGCTTCCAGATGAGCTGTATTTGAACACTACCAGTAAACACACCAGCTTTACAAAGCTTGTTACATCTCATTCCCCGAACTGAAACGCATAACTCCATGATTGAAATTCTTCAAAGTGAATAAAGTTTTATTAGTTATTGTGAATATAAGCAGATTTTACCGCAAAAGCATTCTAATACAAAACCATCAACACTGAAAATATGTTAGTTTTCTCACCAGTAATCTTTAAAATAATGAGCTAGAACGATCAGAAATGGACAGATGCAAGTAATCTACACAACAACCACGCAATACATGTCACATAATTACAAGTAAAATCTCATTGAAACCATATCTTGGAATAAAATGAATACAGAGCTGTAAATTTCCATGAATAGAATACTATTAATAAAGTACCGGCAGTAAAAAAAGTACAAGAAATTGGGGAGTGCTTCTACAGAACTTAAAACTATTCTATAATCCTCTTCCAATTCTGTTATTGCTATCCAGTTATTGTAAGGTTCAGTATTTGATTCAATACTAAAATGAGCACATTGTAATAGTTTTCAGAAGATTGCATATGATTCTAAATAATCATAAATGGTTGGTTAGAAGCGTGGTCTAAGTACTGGAAACTTGTCATCCGAATTCTTAAAAATCAGAATCCAGCGGACGTCTTTGTCTGAAAAAAGACGATTTTCTTTGCAGTGTAGAAGAATAAAGAATGAGGAAAACTATGTCAACATAAAGAAAAACCTCCGACGACTTTGTGGACTATTTCCTTCCACGACAGTACCATCTGGTAGTTGATGTTTGTAAAAACATTTATTACCAAATGGACAATCATCGATATAACCTCCTCTAATATACTTGCATAACTTCTGCTTCGTATTTTCACGAAAACTTGCAATCAATTTATTTTTATCTGCTTGATCTTCTACCCAATAAATAGCTGAAACAACACAAACTTCAGTCTTTATCACTTTAAAAATTTTCTAAACGTCTTGTCTTCAAATTTCGAAAACTTATAAATATTAAAAAACAAAAAGATAGGAACAATAAACTTGGAAATTTTATAAAATCAATATATGTATGTAAAAAATTTCAAAAACAAAACCTGGAATGACAAAATCTGAATGAGTACGACATTCTGGACAACTGCGAACTATCTTCGATTCAAATTGAGAGTTCTGGTTCCGACGCCACTGTCGAATGCATTCTAAGCAAAAACAATGTTTGCATCCTTCTAAGATTCCAAAACGACCGTTTCTTTCCCTACAAAAATAAACAGTGCAGAAACAAAAAGAACAGAACTACATCTATTTCCAAAAAAACCAAAAAAACTTAATCACTCAAAAATGCAGCAATACGATTTTTTAACAAATATTCTTGTTAATCTTTAATTAACATCCTTATTTGAAAGCGTAAAAGAAAGAACAAATAGAGTTACCTAATGTTTTCCATGCAGATGCCACACACTTTACCAACCGAGCGCGCTTGAGCAAACGCCTCCTCCATGGCAGCTTCATGAATGTCCATACATTCTTGTCGATGTTGTGCACGTTGTTCTCGATCGTTTGGATGTAGACAAGGTATATTACAAAGATCACAAATATCACCGTGAACAAACTGACACTGATCACCCTTGACACAATATCCCGTTTCAAAGTATGGACATAAAGGCAATTTCTGCGAACTATAAATCCTTTCATAACTACCAGTTCATCTCAAACTAAATTGCTATATTGTAACATACCTAGATGGCGCAATACTCGATTCATTAGGTGCTGCTGTTTTCCAAGACGGAACAAATTCTGCTGCATTCGCAGAAAACACATGCTCCACTCGAAGTTCTGCTTTCATTGGTGCAAAACCATTACTGTTGATGCTGCTTACTACAGAAAAATAAACAGTTAAGAAATCATATTTCGAAATAATCATCACGAAATTTCAGCCAGCTGACTTTATATCAGACTGTACTCAACAATAATTTTAGGTTCTGTTCATGAATTAAAACATTTTTATTTGATGTGCCATGTACTGGATGCATATAAAACCAAAAATACCCTTACTTGCTTTGATAACATTATTACTTGCATTGGAGTCCTCGAATGTAGAAGAAACATTTTTTACTGTTCTGATATCAGCTGACGGCGGCCGTTTATGTTCATATCTGAAAAGGATCAGATATTTATAATAACTAGAATAACATATTCTGTTAAAGTGGTACCGATAGAATCGTTTACTTTAACGAAAGGCTTTTAGAAAAAAGAAGTCTAAATAAATAAATTTACACTTCTACCTGCTTAGTCCAGAGCAAAGCCATCCCATCCTTTCACATTTCTAACATTTGGAATGCATTAACTTGAAAAATTTTTGAGGTCGATAGTCTCTATCAATAAATCAATGTGCGATTTTTGACTGCTATAGTAGTTTTAATTTCACTGCATTCAAAAATATAACAGACATAAACAAAGTAAATGAGTAACAACAAGGAAGCAATGACCACAAAAACTTGTACCTGCAGCCAGTACCATACGCACATTGGCCGACTAGATAATAACGACACGTTCGGTCAGCTTTTGAAGTGCGATCATGAGAGAAGGGACATGAAGTACCTTTCTGACAAACATTGTTTGCGAAATATCGACACAAGATTTCATGTGTAGGTGTGGTTGTTGGTGCTAAAAATAATTAAATACATTGACGCCACTGAAACTAATTTTAATAATTCAAATGATACAAATTCAGGTTGGTGGAAACTATGATTAAAAGTGTGCTCCAATCCAAGGTATAAAATTCTTGATGATCTAGAATTTCATTCTTACCAGATGACATAATCAGCAAATAACTTGTTAGACAACCTGAAAAAGACAAATACTTTCGCGACTTTTCGTATTTATAACCAGCTTAATTCATTCTAAACGGCAACAATAATGGTTAAATTTCTACTCGAATTATTATTATAAGGAAAATCTTTAGTACATAAAAAATGTGGTAAAAAAGACATAAAACACCTAAATTCTTGTAATCACTTCAGTAACAATACATTTCGCTGATAGTACCAAAACTCACTAATTTATTTCTGCAATAAATAAATAACTGCAATATGCGCTAGATATCTACAATATTATACACATGCTTGCATGAAACATTACACTAAACAATAAAAGTTGACACTAATCACGTAAATAAATGAAATTCTCAGATAGTTAATATACCAATCAACCCAATAGACTAAACCCATTATACCACCGACCGTGCTCACAGATTAATTATGCATAGATACATTAGGTTTGAGAGCAAGATGATACGACAAATTGTCCTGCATTGCGAAACTATGTAGACAGTACGTGCTAGAAGAGCTAAGAGACAAGCGAGTGATATTAAAACATGAGTTCGTATTGGATACAAATTCAACATGAATACTAGCCGAATATTAGCTGCCATCTTCATTCTCACTTATTACATTTATATGAAAAAATATGTATGAATTTCACGCAATGTAGATTCATATCAAAAATGTGGCTTCCATTAAATCCTATCTGTAAATTATTTATTATTAATGTAATGTAACTACAGTTCTACGTAATAATTACGGTTTATTGCAGTCAGCCCTCATTAACAGTCTACAGTTGCTTCCTTTTTTGTTGAGTATGAAACAAGCAATATTTACATTAACAGAAGAGTTTTTCGACACTCCTTAGCATAAATAAGACTTTACTTTAGTCAAAGTTCACTACTTAAACAAGATATCCATTTAATGAAATGATTAGCCCTACCATCCTCAGTGAAAGCAGGAAAAAATATTGCAAATGGTACCCTCCTATGCAACTCCAGAAATCCCGCTGTCATTGCAACAAGACAGATTTCAAGCGCGCCTGTCTGAAGTACCACGTCAGTTATAGCCCTTCACTGATAATCTAAGCAACTGACTTTTCTAATTTAAACTTCAACTACAGTTGTCTGTTCTTTCCGACTTTTGAAAAATAAAACTTTCTAATTTAGCAAGACAGTGGTTGCACTGAGCAGCAATTGCTAGACCCTTCTCGCTACACACTTCACACCGACGAATCTCATGCTAGACTTCTGGTCAGTGGAGTCTCGCATTTTGCTGATAACAAATCTAACAAAGTCAGCCTTCATTAGGCTTCTGCAATAAATTTAAGCAGTGCCAATTATTAAGTCACTGCACATACGTGATGATCTTTAAAATTAAGAAACTACATTACCACACACCAAGTATCACTATTAACACCACACATTACAACCCCTTATCTTAATTAACGAAGGCAGTAATCAACCTTTCTTAAGAGCAATAAAATACACAACCTACATGTGGTACAGCAGATCAAACTACGAAAGTTCATTAGCTGCAGTAAATATGACTAAAGGATGTTCAAAGCCATCTCTCAGCATATGCCAAAATTGTTTGTATGAAATGACCAATCACTTCGTGATGTTTAATTAATACTCCATGAAGTTAATAATTAAGTTCAAGCATTTGCTATGCAACATGAAGTATATAGATACAAAACAGATGTGATAATCATCTAGCAAACGAAAGAGATAAAGCTAGATAGATATGGAGATTTTTTTCCGGACATGAATGTGTTACATAATAAACATCAAAATGGAAACATAACAAACAGTGAACAACTTGCATCTCTATAAAATAAACTATTTGAAAGTAAAGGAACACGAAAAATTCAGTGAAGGCTGCAGTTATATATACCGTATGATCAACAGATTAAGCATTCCAACAGTATTCAAAAATAACAATATAAAGAATGCTACTAGAAATTTTTACAGACAGTCTGAAGAATAAATGACTGCGTCATTAGAATCAACACACAGCTAATACACGTTTATAAAGAATATCAGATTTTATTCAACTAGAAGGTAATTACAAGAACTTGCAGAACAATAAAGCTTAGACAATGGTGGCATTCTTTTTTCTTCCAACCGCTTTATTTTTATAATAATCCATTAAGGTATTCATTCGCAAATCAGAAGATGCAGAAACTGCTTTTTCCAATGAACTACTACCTCCGAATATTCCGTTTCGTACAGCAATTGGATAAGCAGGTGGTGGAGGACGCAAATTTGATGAGGATCCTGTGGGGCCACCTCCATTCCATAACGGTGCTACACTGTGTTCCGCGCTATTACATTGTTGCAATGGTGGATGCTGATGGTAACGACGAATATCAGTAGAAGACAATAGTTTGCTTAAAAAATACTTTACTCCATTATAGAGCATCAGAAAGTTATATTCAAAAAAGAAAAAAATACAAGATCTAGAAGAGATGTCATGACAAACTTCGAAAGAACAAAGCTAATTTACTTTCAATGAAAAAGGCTTACCCTTTTCCTATGGTTGCGGCACTAGAAACCGGGAAAGTAGTAAAGCGGAGAGCACTGACAGCCGAATGTCTACTATATTGTTGATCGGCTCGCATTTCCTGAACAGAATCGTCAATTGCAGGTAGTCGATGGTAATAACCCATTGAACTACATGATGACTGCCTACAATAAATATAAATTAAAATTTGTCTATATCGCAAACAACTATGTCCAGAAAATGAATGTGATAATTTGAAATTGCGCACATAAAAATGAACAGTATAAATACTAAATAAACTCGTTCTCACAATCTGCATATTCAATGACAATTTTTTTTTAAAAATAATACTGCAAATATAAAAATAGAAAAAGGCACCTTTCCTTCACAGCTCGGCGATCTAAACTTGCTGTTGTAAAACCATCATTGCATGAACGTGATGTTGGCAGTACGGCATGGCGCAATGGCGTTTTAGCATCAGTCAACAACAAGCCAGCAACAGGTGGACTACTACAGCAACTACTACTATTCTGCCGACACTTGTCAAGCGAAACACCGGCGAACTTCAGACCAGGGTATGATGAGAAAGAATTTGACTCGCTATGCTGCTGCAATATTATTTGTCGATTTAAATCACTACTTTTCGATGCTGCCATCATAGAATAATCCCGACTATTTTCCTGCAATTCAATTCCTAGCACAAAGATGTTCATGATGACAGAATAAGTAAAAAAGCCATCCACACGGAAGAGAAACATTCCTGTTTTTTTTACAGATAATTACATGAAAGAATTGAAATAATTTCAGCAAGAACACTGAAATTAGCATCAAAAAATTCTGCAAAGCAGTAATTTCAGAACAGCTGTTTTAATCAAGTACCAAACAATGTTTTTTGAACACTCAGTACGTTGACAATGAAATTATTTGATACCAAATTCCGAAAATTAGCTCACAAAAACCATGTAATTCATGAAGTTACAAATTAATACAATGAGTTCTCAGAATTGCAATACAAGGGAGAAACTGAACCTTTACAGAAAATATCCATACTTGAATTTTAGAAAAATCCGAAAATTTTCAAAACTGTAAGCAATTTTATTTCAGTTGAATTTGTGAAATCTAAAATTTTATCTAATTTTAGTAGCAAAAAAAAAAAGAATGTTCGAAAACCTATTCTAAAAATACTAGTGCTAAACATAAATTGCTTACATTTAATGTTGGAAAATTCATTTCTCTATAAGAACTTTTGTAAGAAGCACAAGATCTATAGCCAACATTTTCATATCTGAAAGAATAACATGTACACGATAAACAAAAAATAATTTAGCTGTAATTTACAGCGAGAAATTAAATTTTTAGTTAAACAATTTAACAGTTTGTGTATTATTTCTGTTACTATTCAAACTGATAATACAAAGCTGGATTTCAACTCAATTTAGCAAAAATTTAAAACCGAATGCAGAAAAAACATGGAACAATGATTAAACTTTACAATATTTTCACAGAATAAAAGTGAGGAACTTATTTGGCATATTAGATAACTCCATGTAAACTTATTTCCAATCAAAGCATAACTTACATAGGCATTTGGTGACTTTCGGTCATATAATTCGATGGTTTATTCCATGAAACTACACGGTCAACAACGCAAGGAAAGTGAGATGGATGGTGAAGAGGTGGAGGAGGAGCCCTCCTCAAGTTTTTCGGGCCTAAAGATTGATCTCTAATCGTTTTAGAGGTTACATCAATGATATGGTGAGGAGGAGAACCAATCGTGCAAGCTGATGTTGATGGGTATCGTTGAACACATTCCCTAAACATTTATTAAGTCCATGAATCCCTAAATTTTCTCAACGAAATATAGTATACAGGTCACTAGTTTTAGCACATCTAGACGATTAGTTAAAATAAATGGAGTTCAACCATTTTATGCGAATAAGATAACAAGAAAAATTACATGGAAGCTCTTCTTTGCCCATCATCGACACTACCATCATCTATTTTCATTTCCTCACTTTCTGTCGAAGTGAGTAAATTCGGAAACGAACCCCGTGGTGTAGCTGGACAAGATTTAGTGATCAATGAATGCGAATCGTTTCGACCACCCAATGACGTTGACTCAGCTTCATGATCTGAACAATTTTTTAAAGATTTAACTATAAAATCAGTTGCTGATATGCATTGTAAAAAATTAACAAAAATCATGTTTCGGAAAATTACGAAAATTGAGGTCATTTTTCATATCCAAAATTATGTTCCAAGTTTCGTGAAATTGATTAGGGTATGTATTTTTGGGTGCTCTACAATAATATGAAGTCATTTTCTCGAAAAAAAATTTTTGCAC